TTTTCAATTATATTTGATTTTATAAATCAACTGAAAAGGAGACCACCTAACAGCAGACAGCAGGATAGTTTTATCGTGGGAGGGATTTAAAAAGGGTGTTCCTCTGAAAAATAAAATTTCTACAGCATAAGTGACCTGTGGTTTAGGCTTTAAATAATGTTCTGCTCAATTGGGCTAGGCACAGACATTACACATAAACTGGTATAAGTGATTGGAAACTGGTGTAAACCTTTAACAATACAGAAGTTCAGTGCACACAGACGAGTTTCAAAATGACCAAAACTGGTTTAAGGTACGCCTGGATGGATGTAGTACCAGACCTAACTGATCTAGGTTAAACAATCTATTAAACTTTTATATCCCAGATACCCTCCTGATACAAGTTAGGTCTCAATCCCCTGGCATCCCAGGATGCATTGCAGCACCCACTATTTCCCCCCACCAGGCTGAGCAGGCTAGTGTCCACCCCAGCTTCTTTACTGCAGCCCAGCCGGGTGGCCCCATCCGCAGCTGTCACAGAGCTGAGTCACCCTCCCCAGCCCTGCCAGTGGTAGCATGGAGGTGGGCAAAGGGGGAACGGACCCTCATACCTGCCCCAGCTCCCTTCAGCCCAGGTATGCACGGTGGGAGGAAGCCCCTCGAGGTTGGGACTTTCTCTCCTCCACAATGCAGCTCTGAGCTGCAAATGTTCCAGCACCACCCTCTTGCCAGCGCCTGCCTATCAGGTGTGGTGGGATGGACCCCTGCTCTGGTCCTGACCCCCCAGCTGGGGCCTGCACAGCAGGTGGGGGAGAAAGCCCCAGAGGTGGGGGCTTTCTTCCCTGGAGTGTGGCTCTCCATTGGGCTGCAAATGCCACAGCCCTGCCCCCTCACGACCACCCCTCCTGTCAGCCTTCTTCCTCTCCCCCTCCACTGTGCAGACCCTAGCTGGGGGGCTGGAGCAGGGGTCCATTCCACACCCCCTACCTCTCCTCCTCAACTGACAGGCGGGGGACTAACGAGGAAGAGGGGCTGGGGCATTTGCAGCCTGGCAGAGCTGGGGGTTGTGTGTGAGAGCCCCTGACTTCTGGCCTTGGCCAGTGCAGGCATTTGCCTTCTTGGCTAACTGATGAGTGAACATGTATTCTGTTCCTTAATGGTTCAATGTATATAGCTTAGAGAAAGCTGAATAGATTGAATCAATTCTGCCTTAGGCATTTTAACTGTCTGTACTCAGCCTTGTTGCGTATTCATGTTCTGCTAGGTTTATCTTTTACATTCAACTTTCACAACAGTCTTAAAGTGCATTACATTGTGCAGTCCTTAAATCTGTGACTGTTAATGGGATTCTAGGTGGGAATGAGTTCATAGCAGCACAGGCTAGGCTCACTCACTCCAGCCTGATCGTGGCAGTGGAACAATTATGAGTGATTCCATTTTAGAAAGTGACATTTCTTTCTGATTAAAACAGTGGTTCTATGAAGAAACATAACCAATCTTGTAAATCAGTGATCACCAACCAGTGGATCTTGATCCACCTGTAGATCTCAGAGCCTTTTGCGGTAAATCTTGGAGCCTCTTGGAGTTGATCCAAGGCTGGGGTGGGGGGCTGAGTGCCCGTGTACATGCATGTGTGTGCAGGTCAATCTCTGAGGGAGGGAAGGGGCAGGGGCTACATGAAGGCCCCTGAGGTGAGGGACAGTGCTGCTGAGGCAGGAGCAGGGTAACTTGAGTGGGACCCTGGCCAGGTGGGACTTACCTGCTGGGGAGGCACACTCCCAAATAATTTTTTCTCCCTCTGCCTCAATCTGCGCTCCCTCCCCCTCCCACCCAAAAAACCCCCCAAAAACTTACCTGCTGGGCAGGGAAGTGGGGGCTCATGGTAGATTGTGGGTTGCTTTTAAATACCAAAGGTGATCTCCTACTTAAAAAGGTTGGAGACCACTGTTATAAATCATCTACATCAACTTGTGGCCTCCATTGGGCTTGGGGAATGCAGCACTTAAAAATGTATAGGATCAAGTGTATAACATTGAAAGTGCAACTGAAAAGTAAATGTACTTTAGTGCTTTATAATGAAACTACTGGGGGGGGGAAAGGAATAATCATTATTTTGTGCCAACTGCTTTATGTATTGCAAGGTATATCTACCCAAGAGATTCAGTTGACTGAATCTATTTTATCAGTCTAACTATTATGGATAATGCACTTTCCAGAAGCAGGTGATGAACTTTTGATTTGAACATATGGAGAAGGAGGACTTTGCGTTTCTAGTGTTTTGGTCTGTGCTGCTTGAATACATACTACAGATGATGTTGTTACATGAGCACTACAGCCCTAATATTTGTCCTGGCACTTAAAGGATTTAAAGCTCTTCTAAGAGTACAGCTGAGGGATCTGAGTGGTGTTACCTGTTCTGCTTCTCTTCTTCCCCAACTTCTTATATATGAGGTAGTCCAAGGCATGGCTAGAACATAGAGCAACTTTCTGGTGCAGTTCTTTTACCCTACTAAAAGGGCCCTGTGAGTACTGTTATGACCCAGTGCAGCAAAAAGCAACTCTGAGGCTTTTTAAGTTGCACCAAGATCCAAACCAGCAGCTGTGGGAGTTAGGAAACAGAGAGGTTGTGGGAAGCTGCTTGCGACTCCCTCCCCCAGTAGATCAAGAGCTGCTTTAGCCATCTGGTCCTACATGGAAACCACCATTATTTCCATGTCCATCATTATTATTTTGCAGAATCAACACCATGTGGATTAAAACATATGTTGATTCTGCAATATGATACAATAATGTTACATATAGAAACCATGGTGAAGTGTGTGGAACATTCTCACAATATGCTAAAATCTTTACCTTCAAAACTTAAACATCTATAACTTCTAATAAGGAGGAGACTGCACATAACAAACCTGCTAGAATTAAAAAAAAAAAAAAAAGCTCTTACTAAATATGGAGAAAGGCGGTAGGGGATGGGGAATGAACTTTACATTAAGCTATTGTTACCAGCAGTGTGAAATATAAAATCTAAATAAAAAAAGATGAATGATATTGGATGATCTTCATAGTGAAGATTTGGGTGTGTCAGGTTGTAAGATTTTTATTATTGATTTGTATGACAACCTGAAAGCTAAAATAATGAAAAAAAATACACTGAAGCGAAGTCCCTTGCTTACCTACTTACTGTACAGAATAGAGTGAGATGTGCCCTGGAATATAATGCTTAACAATATCTTCCATGTTGCTAGGTTTTTGGTTGTAGTCATTTTGGTCTAAGGACATAGGCAGACAAGGTTCTTTGGGTAGATGTGATGTCTTTTTTTTAGACCGAGAAGTTGGAAAAAAGTTGTTAGCAAGCTTTTGGGTTCAGTCCTCCTTCTTTGGGCATAGGGAACCTCTGCTGTTCTGAGACTCCAAGGAATGAGAGAAGCTAAAAGCATAACAGGATGTCAGTGAGAATGTAAATAAATAGAAATTAGAAAGACAAAAGGTAAAGCAGAGAGGTAACATAGAGAGGGGAGGGGGAAGAGAGCAGAGGGAAAAAAACAAACCGTTTTGCAGTCTAACTGCTTTCCCTTTGGAAAAGGTACATGTGACTTAATAGAAACCTAAGAAATGCCATTGGACACTAGGGGTGTGCAAAACGGCCATATTTGATTTGGATACAGATTCAGTGCAAATCAGGGACAGTGATTCTATTAATTGATTCGGATCACTGTCCTGATTTGATTCACCTGAATCTGAATCTAAAGAGTTGACGGTGATTCGGAGAATTATCAATTAAAGTGACACAGCTTTAAATGTTTTTTCTACATACCTTGAGGTACCAGGTGCGGCTCGTGAACGCTGCAATACTGGGGCAGACGGACCATCCCACAGGAGCGCGGGGGGCCCCCACATGCTTGACAGTGAACCCAGAAGTGGACTCGAAGTACTTCTGGGTCTGCTGCTGAGTGAATGGGGGACCCCCTCTGCCCCCACCCCCCAGCTCAGTGATTGGCCACGGGGGGACCCCGATTGGCCCTCAGACCCAGGAAGCACCAGTCACCAAGCGGGGGGGCGGGGCAGCAGCATGGGGTTCCCCGTGTGCTCTGTGGCAGACCTGGAATTGGACTGGAAGTGCTTGTGGTCCACTTCCAGGTCTGCTGCCAAGTGAGTTGGGGACCCCCCCACACTCCCATGGGATGTGCGGCATCTTGGTGGTCATGAGCCGCTTGGTACCTTGAGGTATGTAGAAAAAACATTTAAAACTGTGTCTGTGTCTGAATCATCGAATCTCTCCTAATCAATTTGGAGGGTTCCAATTTGATTCAAATTCGGAGATTCAGCCGCCAAAAAGGGCGAAATCTTCGCTGAATTGAATCAGTGACTGAAGCTTTGCACAACCGTAGTGGACACTCCACCCATATCTTGTCTTGACAATGCCTAGTACCTGCCATTTTAGAGAAATCCCTACTTCTCCACAGTTGAAAATAAGTAATCTGTATATTAAAAGTTTAAGTTTCTTCCTCACTCCATCATGGATTAGTATTGGTTTATGATCTGATGTGTGAGTTTGCTTCCCAGAGATATTTTATCCCATCTAAAGTAGAAGTAATGTATATTTCTGTATACATTTCTGAACCTTTTTATGAATTGTTCAAGCCTCTTGACTTTCAGGGTGTCCTGTAGAAATGGAGTTCCACATGTTTGAGTTGTTATGCAAGGATGCATCTTCTTTTCTACTGTAAACTTCTCTTTCAATTTTACTTAGTTTCTCTTTGCATATATAAAGTTAAACTGTGGAATCCAATTTACCTTCTTTCTATACACTGTTTATTGTGTTGCTTTATTGCAACCTGCCTCTTTGTATCCTTAGCATTAGTGCACAAAATATTGAGCGTGGGTCCTGTCCAGTTGCTTTAATTTTCATACGTACATTCATAACTGAACCACCTGATTGTTCAGTGGGTTTAAGATAGTTGCATTCAATGTCATTTTACCTGTTTTTCTATATTGCTCATGTTCTCACAACTTCTCCACAGACTCACATTTCAAGACTTCCTCCTGGAGCTGTGGCCGGACAGTCCGTGGCAATTGAGGGAGGGGTTTGCCGCCTGGAGAGCCCAGCAAACTGAACAGCTGACTCATCACCTCATTGTAAAGAATGTGAACGGCATTTTGTACAATAAGCTCTTTTTTCTGTTTTACCAGATGTTGGGGAATTTTACTCTCATGTTATACTCCTTATTGCAGCCATGTGCACCATAAATTGAGACAAGTGCTGCTGTAGTTCATGTTCTCACTCTGTGCGAGTGGGTGGGTGTACATGCATGCTTATTTTTTCTCCCAATAAAATAGGAACTCTTCCCAGTTGTGCAAAGACTGTGTATAATTAATGTTACATTTACTTACATTGCTTTGAGCATAAAAACAAATGTCCTAAAAGTTCAGAAAAATCTGATTTAACGAAGTTGCAACAACTCTCATCCATGTTCTGAATTAGATAGAAACAGATCTTTAAGTGAGATGTATCTTAATGCAAAAGTCATGATGGGTTTCCACATTTCTTAATGATTTAAGTGACTCCAGTGGTAACTTAAACATTGTTTTTTTGTTTGTTTTCCTGTCTCCCTCCCTCTCTCTGTCTCCCCTTTCCCCTCTGACTCAAGTATGGGCATTTTTTTTTGATGAACAGTGGTTTCAGTGAACCAAACAAGAGCAGGATTATGGTCAGAATAATTTTAAAGTCTTATAATATTGGTTGTATCTCTCTTCCCAGGATGAGCTAAGCTAAGATGTTAATAGCTTCAAGCTGTATGTATTACAAAGAGCTATATAAAGATAATGTATGGTAATGCTGTCTTACTTTGTGTATAATGGAATATTACAATGTAAATAAGAAGACAAAGTTTATGGAAAGATTCAATATTATTCTTTGTTTCTGTTTAATCTATTTTTAAGAGAGAGGTACAGAAATAAACAAACTTATTACTGGATGCTAAGTGCAATGTGTATTGAATTGATGACGAGATACCTGATATTACCTTTCTTCTGGGAACATGAATTGCTCAGTGTTCAAGCTCAGCATGGGTATTTGTATCGTGTGTAATATGTATGTACTGTACATATAAATTTACTGTAGGTTCCTACTTGCTATATCTAAAACACTGGACCATATAACTACGGAGTCCTTGTCTGCCTCATAAATATAAGCTGATGTAATGGTTTGTTTCCATCAGATCTGATACTTTAGCAAACCACTTGAGGTCTGAAGGTGAGTTCTTAAGTATAAACATCCGTTCAGTGCCCTTCTTTTTATTAATGGCAGCAATATAGATATTTTTATAATGACAGCTTTTGTTCAGTGTTGTGAAGAGAGGCCACAGAGAAATTAAGGTGGTTCTTTTTCTTCTTCCTAAACCAGTTTGGTAACAGCAAGCATCTGCCATTTTACCATTTTCCAGAAGTATTGGGTTAACTGATATTTGGGCTACAAAGACTGTATCTGGCAGTGTTCTTGTCTCTTTTGTAGTGTTGTGCCTGCTTATGAGAGATGTACTTGATTCTGATTAAACAGTTGCCTTGATTATGGTATCAATGTCTCATGGAAAAGCCATTTTTAATAATTTTTTTTAATGGCCTGAGTTCATTTTGAAAGTAAAGTTACTGATCTTTCCTTCCCCCATTATGACAAATGTGCAGGCTTGGATATAAAGGGACAATACCCTGTTAGTAAATGGATCAGAATCTATCAATGTAATTTGGAGTAGCAGATAAATGGGTGTCAGTTCCCAGAAGTTTGGAGTCTGCACGTACCTCTGCTTTTTTATGGAAATTGGTTAGCCTCAGTCCAAAATAGTAATCTAGATTTATGGTTTATCTACAGCTTTTAGTGATTTTAAAATAGTAAACATATTACCTTGATAAAAATTGTACTTGCTCCAAGCCATACAATGCTGTCCAGCTCTAGAGAATTTGAGACTTATTTTTGTTTTAAGGAGTTTCTTTTCCTATGGTCTTGCTAACGTTTTTTGTATGGAAATTCGATAATGTAGAGATGCAATATAGAAATGGTAGATAGGAAGCATTTGAATGACACTGGTTATAGAAACAGAAAGGCAAATGCACGGGGATAAAAAAGGTTTGTTTTGAAATGTGTTGGGCCAGGTTTTTGGCTGGTGCAAATAGGTACAGCTCTGCAGAAGTGAATGGAGCTATGTTGGCTTTACACCAACTGAGATTGCAAGCCTTAATTATTGGGAAATGAACTGTTACTTTGAAGCTGCTGTTCTCTACACTATAAAAATGATTTGCTAATATTAAATTATAATATTAAAATAATTTGCTAATAATAAAAGAAAGAAATTAAGAAACTTCTGATGTTTTCTTAGGTTCTGGTTTTCAAAGTTGTCATGATTTTAGGTGCCTACTCTGAAGCTTATTTTCTATAACCACGGGAACTGTTCTTTGCATTTGCACCTTTTCTTTCCATTGCGGATTTCAAGAAAGCATTTTCAGAATGAGTCTTTCTGAAAACTTGTGGTGTATAGAAACTCATACATGTGTCTAGATAACCTTGCAAAAGTTTCTTGCTTGAACTCTGTCACAGAAAATACATTTGTGTAATGCTTAGGTTGATTGTTTAGTACCCCTCATGCCTTCTATCCTTTCTCTGCCCTGTTTCTTTCCTTATTGTGGAGTAAAGGACGACTAAGCATTTGGATTCCAGCATGTGATTTTTTTTTTTCCATGTGTTGGCAGCTAAAAATTTTTTCTGTTTAATGTAGCCTGAAATGGCAAATCAAGTAGGAAATGAACGGAAAACTCATTTTTGGAGTTCTTTTTTGATTTCTATGGACATCAGTTGCCTGTTGGCATCTCTGCTTCCTCATAGTTTAGGATCTCTGCTTTGAGGCTGCAAACAGATATCAACTTTGTGCTCCCATTAAGAAGTTTTATGGCAGCACTAAGTTCACGCCCATTGTCATGTCACACATGCCCAAAATTGTGGCCATGATAAGAAGTGGTAAAAAGTTGTGATGCTTTTTTGAAGAGCCATCTGTGGCTCTTCAAAAACATGTTTGTTTTATAGAAGAAAAGTGCAGGCAGGCCAGAGCTGCGTGTGCTCTCCAGCTAACCCAGTCTGGCACGTCTGGAGCTTTGGGGGCCTTATCCTACTGCATCCTGACTTGGGACAATGGAAAATGTCTGTGTCACCCAGTGATTTTGTTACCTTTGGGTATAGTTTAAAGAACATGTATGAATTTACATCTTGGCAGTAGGGATGTTGTGACAATTCTGCTTATCCTGCTTCCACCCCCAGGGACTTAATTGAGGGCCTTATACTGGTACCAATTTTACTTTAGACACAAGGGATTATCAAAGATAAGCGTTGAAGACAGACATGGATTGCAACAAAGTGAGCCACAAAGTCTCATACCCCATGAGTAATTGTGGCTCCAGGCGTTAATTGGTATTGTCCAGGAAAAAATTATACACATGACAGCAATAGATGGTTACAATTAAAAAGGAGAGGCAACCAGATGAAATGCATGTAAATACAAACAATTTGGAAACTGATGATTTATACTCTTCAGACACACATTTATGCTCCTTCAGGCTATTTTCTAGCAGACAGTTTGGTGCCAGGGTAGTTCTTATTTCTTGATAAACCTTTGCTATTAGAATTTTGTAATATTGTTGTATTGTGTAGGGATGTTGCATGAATTCATTTACACTGGTAACTCTGCAAACACTGCTGTGCTGTGGCATGGTACAAGTTTTAACTAAATAGATACCTGTAGACAAACTTGAGCAAAACAGGAGCCTAATATTGTGTGGATGCTCTGATTTTAGTTTTAGCTAAAGCCTGTAAGGAACTGACTTAAACTAAATCTGCTCTTTGCAGGCTTAACCTAAACTGAAACAAGATGGAAATAAATGTACACACGGTGTTTTGCAGTGGTTTAACAGTCCCTCTAAGTGTATATGAATTAAGCCAGCACAGCCTTCTTCTAAAAGCCCTTACAAAAACTCAGTACATTAATTCCATTACAAATCCAGCTCATATAGGGTACGTTTGCTTCTATCCATATTTTGAATTGCATGTTTAAAATGTTTTCTAAATCACTTTTTATGCCAAAAAGATGAATAACTGCTTTGGTACTCATTCTACTATTCAGCTATCAGTTGTATTAATAGTGCAGTAATGTTTTAAATAGTGCAGTTGTACTAATAGTACACTAAAAGTTAATGGGTATTCTGTTCTCTCAGGTATAGCTGTGTTGATCTAAATAGTACTTGGCAGTAGAGCTGTGCGAAATGGCAGTGTTCTGTTTTGATCAGCGTTTCGACAGAACAGCATTCTGTTTCGAATTTTGTTTTGACTCGAAACAATTGTTCTGTTCCGTTCCATTGAAACGGCAAAACTGTTTCAATGCCCATAGGATATAAGGTGGAAGGTCAAAACAGCCTAAAACTTTGTCATTTCTGGCCTGATTTGGATTAAACTTGCAGGAATGGTAGGCCCTGCTGAGGCCACGAAACCTGCCACGTTTCAAGGAGAGAGGTGCAGGGTCTTGGGGGAAACTGTACCTCAAGCTGCAGACAAACAAAACTTGTGACATGGGTGACATGGTGTGTGTTAAGGTGCAGCAGGGTGAAAGCTGCAGGCCTGCTAGCCCCTGCTGGGGCCATGAAACCTGCTGGTTGTCAAGGAGATAGGTGTAGGGCTTCTGGGTTCTGGGGCCCTGCACCTCTACCTGCTGACAGGCAAAACTCATGTCGTGGGTGCTTGTGCAACTGCGTCCATCTTGGGTCACGGGGGTGGGGAGGGAACTACTGCAGGCCTGGCTGCTAGGTCTTGCTGCAGCCACAAAGCCTGCCAGCTGTCAGGGAGATGGGTGCAGGGGGGTTCTGGGGCCCTGCACCCCTAGCTGCTGACAGGTAAAACTCATGACATGGGTGCTTGTGCAACTGCTGCCTCTCATCAGACAGCAGGACTGAAGATCCCCCATCACTTGCCACCACAGACCTGGGGGTAATAATTGACCACAGTACGAACATGAGTCGGCAGTGTGATGCTGTAGCCAGCAGGGCCAACAATATCCTGGCATGCATCAATTGATGCATCTCCAGCCAAAGCAGCAAAACCATTGCAAAGAAGTGATTCTCCTGCTCTACTTGGCTCTACGCAACACCGGTGAGACCGCAGCTGGAGTACTGCGTCCAGTTCTGGGCTCCACACCTTAACAAGGGCTTGGTAAAGCTTGAGAGAGTCCAGAGGAGGGCTACCCATATGATCAGAGACTTGCACAGCAAGCCATATGAGGAAAGGCTGAGGAACCTAGGACTCTTCAGCCTGAAAAAGAAGGCTGAGACGGGACTCGGTAGCAGCTTACCGCTACGTCAGAAGCGTACATCTAGGGCTCGGTGAGCAACTGTTCACCAGGGGACCCTGGGGGAAAAGTAGGAGTAATGGTCTCAAACTCCTAGAAGATCATTTCAGGCTCGTTTCAGGCTCAGCATTAGGAAAAACTGCTGGGGTGGCTGCCCCCGATTTTTACAGTTTGAGTGCAGCACTGGGTGCCATTTTTTCAGTGGAGCATGGCAGGCCTCTGCCCTCTCTTCCTGGCTCTGGCCGAGGGGTCCTGGAAGTCCTGCCCTTCCCTGGAGATTGACAGACTGGTAATGAATGTACACAATAGGTTCCTTTTGTACGCTTGGCTTTAACAATGCATCAATACATTTTAAATTTAAAAGTGCTCAGTTTAAAGAGATCCTTGAGACAACATAATCCTTTCCTGTACCCTATTCAGCTATCCAGCCTGGTCTCCTCAGGATGGAGTTTTGCATTTTTGCTTTTCTGGTTTAAACAGATCCAAGTCTTTTTCTTTAATTGGCAGAAATCATTACAAAATAATAAAAACAGGGCTGGAACAAGGAGGAAGGAAGGGGCAGGTAGAAGGCAAAGCTGCGTAAACTTAACTGTCTCAGGCAATTT